CTTGTAGATCAATTTTGCAGATCCAATTTCAAGGGTAATACTTTTAAATAATTAATATATAATAAAAACTGTAATAATATAGATTTATAAATTAATTTAAAAAATTTATTGATTTATTATAAAAGTAAATTAGAAGATAATTTATAATTCTATAAAAAATTTTACTTGAATAGTTTTATTATTTTTTTGTGATTTATGTAAAATTTCTGTGAAAATGAGTTCTTTATAATAAAAACCATAGAAAACAAAATATAGATCAACTTTTTTTATAAGGTAATGCAAACCTTTATAATTAAGGAATATATAATAACTTAATTTATTTTAATTTTAGTTAAAATTAAAGATAGAACTGTAATTAATTTTAAAATTTTCAATTATTTATAATTATTTATAAACATTAATATTAAAATAAATTTACAAGAAATTGTAATTAGTTATAATTAAAGTTATAACCTATTAAGATATAACATTTTAAATATATATAAAATTTTTACTTTTTTTATAAATATATAATATTTTAATTTTTAAAATTAAAATTTAAATATTTGATAACTTTTTAGTAAAAGTATGGTTTTTTAAAAAATTTCTTTCTTTTTATCACAAAGCATTTATTTTATTAAAATATAATAAAAATATTAAATTTGACTTTTATTTAAAATACATTTATTAAAAATTTAAATATTTTATTTTAAATAGTATAAATACTCATTAATATTTGTATTTTATTTAAAATTTTTATAAATGTTATTCTTTTAATGATTTTTTTTTCAAATTTAGAAGAAACTTTATTTACTAATTTAAGTTAATTTTAGATATATTAAAAAATTAGTCATAAAATAAAATAATATTTTTTAAGTAAAATCAAAAAAAAAAATTGCATTAATTAGTAATTTTTTGTATTAATTTAAAATCAAAGTTTTAAAGATTTTTTTAATAAAAGTATTTTCTTAAAATTTTTAATTTTTAATTATTTCATATTATAAAAAAACTTTACATAATATATTTATTTATATATTTAAATATTATTTATTTATAAAAAAAAAAATCTTAAATATAAAGGTGAAAATTTTATATATATTAATATTTTAATTATTAAAAATAAAATTTTATTTAAAAATAATAGATTTATTATAAATTTATAATGTATTTTAACTAAAAATTAAATAAGTTATTATATAAAATTTTGTATAATTGGTATAATTGATTAAAAATCATGACTAAATTTGAATAAAAATTATTACTATTTAAGAAATATGAAAATTTGCTAATTTTTAGACTTTTTTAGTAAAATTTATTTTTATTATATTTTAATTTTTGATATTAATAAATTTTAATTAACAAAATTCTCAAAACTATTTTTCTAGCAAATTTTTCATATAAATGTTAAAATAATATTATTTTTATTATAACTTTTATGATTATATTAAGTTATAATTACAAATATAATTTTTAATTTATAACTATATATTCTATTTTTATTTTATAATAATAAAAATATATATATTAAATAATAAAAATAAAATTAATTTTTAAATTAAAAATTAATGTTAAATAAAATTTGGTTTTATTTAATAAACTGAAAATTATCTGAAGTTTTTATTTTGTCATTCAAATTGAATAACATTAATTTTATTTGAAATATTATTTATAAAATTGCGAAAATATTTTACAAATTTATAAATTATATGGAATGTAATTAGTAAAAAAGAAGTAAATCAAAATTTTAGTCAAATTTATATTATTGAACCATTTTGCTGTTTTTGATTATGTGCATACAAATTAGCTTAATAATTAAAATTGGTAAAAATTTTGGATTTTAACCTTATTTTTCCCTAACTGTTCTATATATAATAATTATTAAATTTAAATTTTTTTTGAAAATTATATATATAAATCTAAGTAAATAATAAAAATCTCAGATTTATTTTCTAAATTTGAATTTTTATATATATTTTAATAAATAAAACTTTAATTATTTGTTAGGAATTTCTTTTATTTAAATATTAATTAAAATTAAAATATATAATATTAATAAAAAATATAATAATTAACTTAGATAAATAAATAAATAAAATAATAATAATTAAATTAAAAAAATATATTTTTATATATTATTATAATAAGCCAATTTTAATTTATAAAATTTATTAATAATACTATTCACTTATTTATATAATATATTTATATTATTTTTATTTATTATATTATCAAAAGTTGAAATATAATAATAGTAAAATATTAGAAATTGAAATTAATAATAATAAAAAGGCTAAACTAAATAATAAATGAAAAAAGAAAATATATTATAAAATATAAGATTAATATTTTTTGATTTTCAAGCTTCTTTTCAGCTTGATCTGAACTTTTTATATTTAACTATATATCAACCTCAAAAAATTTAAAAGGAAAATACAAAGTATTTAGGTTTAATTTCTAAATGAATATAAATATTGTTAATGATTAAAAATATATAGTAAAAACTTGTAAGAAAACCTATCTTCATAAAGAATCAATAGAACGCATTTTAAAATCCCAAATTGAATCAAAAAAAATAGATAGTTATAATATTTACCTTCAGTTCTGTTCCTAAAGTCTGAAATTCATCTAGCCAAGAATCATTATAAAAATTTTTTAAAAAATATTATCAAATCTTGTTTAGGAATATAAAAAATTTTATTTTAACAAAATATCGATCAATCTGGTTTTTTTTTGATTCGGATGATCCGGATCGCACTTCAGCCAAAATCTTGCACGTGGCTTATTTTTTTATTAAATGTTTACAATTTTAAATTAATTAACTTATTCCCGGTAAAAATCAAAAACTGGTTATTTGAAAAACTCGCTTCCACAGTTTCATATTTTCTTTTGTATATATGAAAAGTTAAATATATTTTTTTTCCTTTGTTTGAAAATTTAACAAATCAATAAAATAATTAGTGAATGCTTTAGAGTTTACTTTTCTTTTTCGATTCAAATGTCCCTAGATTAAACCTAATGTCGTGTAGGTATTATACAAACCGTTAATATTGTTCATAGCAAGGATATTTCTTTTCTTTGTTTCAACGGTCGTTTAACGTTATTATGGTCGCAATAAATATAAAATGGAGACACAAAGACACAAAGGAGAGAAAGTATTTGACACAATGAATATAAAATATGCATAAGTATTAACTTCTTTTTGTTTGTACAAAGGGATAAGTTAACACACGCATAATGATTTTGGTTACGCTTTATTAATACCGCTTATTAAGGTACTAATAGAAAGTTCTTTTTAAATTTCCTGAGAGAGTACAAATGTAACCATTAAATATTTGCCCTTAATTAATCAATTTAATTTTGGCTAAGAGCGACACATGAAGATCAATATTGGTGATTAAGTTCATGCTTTCTGCGCCAGCTTATCGACTCACAAGCAGCAATGTTTATATTTTTTTGTGAAAGAAAAACCATATGCTTCTCGAGTTATTTTTAAAAATTTAAAGTAATTTCACACTGGTTCAAAAAATTGGTCAAGTTATTATTGGTATGAATTCATAAACTTCATTTTCAAAATCATCATCGATAATCATGCAGAAGCATAATGCTTATTTTCCCATTTATTATTTTCACGGTTCATAAATTTCGTTTCAATTTAGTAAAACGTATTATCTATATTTATATTACTTATTTAACCTTTTATTTATCTAGAAATAATGTTTATGTATCATCGGAAATTGATTGTTTTACATGCATAATTTATTTACCGCCAAGTTTTGGTGGTTGGACCAAGCTTAAAACCGAATATCATTTATTAATAGGATTATGCGCATTTTTGTGAAACATTTATTGATTCCAATGGTTGTATGCTTATATATGGGACGGCAATTAATTTACATAAACAAATAAGGAAAGTCGAAAGTTTACGATTTTGTATTTGCACTTACCCACCCACTTTTTTTTTTCCCTTTGATTTGATTCTTTTTATCTTCTTTTCTTCGTTAATAAACTTAAAGGGACACAAATTTTTTTTTTTTAAAAAAAAGTATCTCCCAAAGTAACTAACTTCAATAAAAGCGAGAATACTGAGAAAAGATAGTAAAAAAAATCATGAGTGACTTACAACGCAAGAAGTCTTTTTTCCGACTCTTTGGCAGAAAGAAACCTGGTCAAAGTAGATATTCGGCTCGTCTACCTGCAGATTGCCTTTACGAAATTTTTACACTTCTTAAAGATGACACAAAGTCACTACACTCATGCGTTCTCGTTAATAGACTTTGGTGCGAAACTGCGATGCCTTATTTATGGTCACAGCCCTTCCGAAAATCAACTCCACCACCTGCTTCCCTTATAAACATTTTTGTCGCATGTCTCAGTGATGATGAAAGAGATGAACTTGTTCAAGCTGGGATAAGAATCCCTGCCATATTCAAAAGACCTCCAACTTTCAACTATGCTTTTTTTATTCCACATGTCAGTTTAGAAAGGTTTTATTCCGCTGTTCATCAATGGACATTACAAACTTCCGCAAAACGACGCAGCGTGGTAAATTATCGGTGAGCGTCATCTTTTAAAAAAAACATTGTGGCTTTGTTTTTCTCTTTTTTTTTTCATTGACAACTTACAAATTTCAAATTTTTTATCCTCTCTTCTAGATGTAATACTGAAATCAATGATATGTCACTCGTTGTATATTGTGCCCTTTGCCGATTGCTTTTTGGTAATCGGTCAAACATCCATTCTTTAAGTTTGGATCGGCCAAGCAGAAATACTACTCCTTTAATGGATAAATCTCTCGGAATAGATTTACAAGTTCGCAATATCAAGGATTTATCTATTCGTTATACCACCGATTCCTTTCTTTTCGAAGCTTTACATAAACATGCTGTAAACATTGAAAATTTGACAGTGATTAAATCATCAGATTCCGGTTTAAGAAATTTTGACGATCAACAATATCTGTCGTCATTGATATTTTCTCAACATAAATTGCGTCGATTTTCGCTAACATGTTATGATTCTGTTGATGGCTTCACTTCAAATGTTTTAATACCACTTGCAAGTCAAGCTGATACGCTCGTTTCCCTCAAACTTCACGGTATTCCATTTCCAAGTGATTGTTCTATTACAGCTTTGACATCCTGTACGAGTCTTGAAGAATTAGAGATACGCCGTTGTCCCAACGGTCCTGGATGCAGTTTGGCTGCAATTCAAGCTATAGAATTACCGAATCTTCGTAAGATTCGTGTAATAGAATCTTCTATCCTTTGGGGAACGTTTATGGCTACAGTGATCTCAAAGAATCCAACAGACTTAGAGGAAGTATTTTATCAACCCTGGGAAGATGAAGAACATAACGTGATGTCAACTTCAATTATACAAAGCATTGCTCAATGGCGACCAAAATTACAAAAACTTGGTGTGGCTCTTAGTGTTGACGAAGTTCCATTCCTTGAAGAAATTCTTACGGGATGTAAGATTGAACATCTCAGCTTATTTTCCATGGGTAATCCTGAAGGTGAGATGGAAAAGATTTGGCCGGAATTGGGTCATCATATGCCTACCACTTTAAAACACCTAAATGTATGGATTTTTATTGGTGCGAAATCAATGGATCAATTCCTTCAAAATACAAAAGCTACTTTGGATTCATTGTATGTTGACGCTTGGGTCGAAGACTTTTTATGTCATCCTTATAGTGATGTTCTCACGCGTCACCTCAAAGATAGACCCATGGATTTGGTCGATTTTTTCCACCCGCAAATTTAAATAAAAGAAAAAAACAAAAAAAAATTAAATACTTTTTTTTTTTACAGAATATTTATTTAGTTAATTATCATATGCTTACTTCATAATCATCATTAACTTTCCTTTAGTGTAGATCACCAAAGAGAAATAGTAAACCTTACCATTCATTATTATTTATTTAGATACAGTAAATATATAAAATCGGGAAGTCGAAATAATATGGACGAATTGACCTCTCTGATACCTAATAATACAAATTCTTTGTAACCTATTCCTTCTTATTTTTTAGTTCGAGAAAAATAAATGAAAAGCCTCCCCCCCCACCCCCCCCCCCCCCCCCCCCCCCCCCCCCCCCACCCCCACACCCCCCCCCCCCCCCCCCCCCCCCCCCCCCCCCCCCCCCCCCCCCCCCCCCCCCCCCCCCCCCCCCCCC